GCCCTTCCCCACCCTTCCAGCCAGGAATTCCTTCCCAATATCCCACCCATCCCTGCTCTCTGGCACTTGGAGCCATCCCCTGTGTCCTGTCCCTCCATCCCTTGTCCAAAGCTCCTCTCCAGGTTTCAGCTCAAGCTGTGGAGCCCTGAAATGTCAGTGGGCACCACAAAGGCTCTCGTCCCACTGGAGGGGACACTGTCCCTGGAGGTGTCACCTCTCCAGAAGACAAAACCAGGGCTTTGTCCATGGATTCATGGAGTTGTCCTGGAAGCAATGGGATGATGGCTGGCCAAGGTCTCAGTGTGGAATGTCCCTCCCACACAAACTTCTCCGCTGGTCCAGAGCCATCTCCAGCCCATTATCCCCCAAAACCTACTTCTAATGCTCTCCTGGAGCCGCTGGATCCTGGGAAGGATCAACTCATGGAGAGACATCCGAGGCTTGCACACATCCAGCTGCTCCAGGAAACAAAGCCTGACATGGAATCAGCAGAGCCCAGGCCGTGCTGGTTCCGTGCTGCCCCTCAATCCTCCCTCTGGAGCACAGCTTCGTTTGGGATCTCTGCAGCCGCCCTTGCCCAGGGCTCCGGGCCCTTCCTTGGCAGGATCAGGGCATCCTCAAACAGCCACAGTCCTGCTGCTTTCCTCCTGCACCACCTGGGACAGGATGGACACTAGGAGTGTGTGTGTGGAATATCCCTTCCATCACCAAGGTATGGAGTGGCCACGGGCACGGACCTCATAAATGAAAAATATGCACGGGATGCTCCTGGTTTTCCATCCAGAGGGAAAATTCCCTGGTCCCTGCAGCCAGCCAGGAACAAACACCTTCCCAGGGAAGCACTGAGCTTCACCTACACCAGTTAACAGGGTCTGCTTAATTGGGTTTCAGACTAATGATAGAGAAGAAGGTTGAGTAATCACCTTTAACCACCACAGAAATGATCCTTTATTCAGCATCCTCTGGGTTTATCCTGAGCTGGCACCTGCTGGATGCTGGGAAAGCTCCTCATTTCCAGAGGAATTCCAGCAAAGCTGTTCATTGCTGGGGTCTCCACATCTTGGAAAACGTCTCAGGAGGGGACTGAAAGCAGCACCTGAGAAAGGGGAGAGGATGGAGCCTGGTGTTCCTGGGAGCTCCTGGGGCTGCAGGGAGGGCAAACGGGCAGGAGGCTTTATCCAACCTGCCTGATGACCCCTGGAAGTGGAGTGGAGCAAGGAAGAGCTGCAGGCAAAGGCAGCAACTGCACAGACACCCCTGCTGAGCCCTGGGAATTCTCCCAGAGGTGTTTTCCTGCTGGGAAAACGGAGCTGTGGTTCTTTGGGAACCTTTGCCCCGTGCAGGGGAATCTGCTGGGAGCAGCACTTTGGGATGGAGCAGTTCCCACTCCAGCAGGAGCAGGAAAACTGGGGAGAGAGGGAAAAAAGCAACTTCCTGAAGGTCATTCAGCCAAGCAGGGATGGGAGGAGGACCCGATCTCCTGGGAGGCCCCAAGCCCAGGGACTTTCCATGGGCTCAGGTAAGACAACAGGAATGACAACAGAGCTGGAAAAGCAATAAAGCTCTAATTCTCAAAATCCCTACCTGATTTCCCTGGAATCCCCATCCCTTCTGTATGGCTGGGACCTGCCTGGAGAGAGAGAGATCAGGCTCAGCTCAAGCCTTGTCCTTGCCCATCTGGTTTCCAGTTTATTTTGCTTTGGAAGCATTGCTTCCATTTCAGTAAAAGCAAGAAATCCACAAGGAGAAGCTTCTCCAGTTCAGACTTTTTTCTTACCTACAAGTGGGAAAAGGAGCTCTGGATCCTGGAAAATGTTTTTCCTATGGGAAAGGGAAGCAGTGCCCAGCACAGCCCTCTCTGAAGGAAGCAGGAAAATCATCTCAGTGACTGAAGTTGTGGTGAAGCCACTGCAGGGGAGCGTGACTGACACTCTTCCTGCCCATCCTGAGGCCTTCACTGGATAGACAGGGATAAGCCAGCACACAGACTACCCCAAAATCCTGGAAAATTCCCCAAAACCATGGGAAAACATGCTGGGATGGGAGACAGCCAGTACAGCTGCAGTGAGGGTGTGATGCCAGCCTGGGGATGGACTCAGCTGGTGAGGAATTCCCGTGCAGGAGTGAGCCCTGAGCATCTCTGAGTGCCCTGTGGCAGCACCCAGAAATTCCAGCCCTTCCCGGGATTTCACTGAGGGTTTCTAGCGGCTCAAATCGCCCCGGGACAGGGTTTTCTTGCGTTTTTTGAGGTCTCAGCCCTTCTGAAGGGTTTTAGTGGTGGTTCAAGGCCGCTGTGGGAGCGTCCAGGTGCGGCTCCAGAGCAGGAGAATTTGGGAACCTCGCCCTAAACTCTCATTCCTTGCCCTAAACTCTCATTCCTTGCCCTAAACTCTCATTCCTTGCCCTAAACTCTCATTCCTTGCCCTAAACTCTCATTCCTTGCCCTAAACTCTCATTCCTTGCAGGGCATGGGCAGACCCCGCCAGGACTGAGCAATTTAAGGGGAATTTGGGGGATTTCGGGGATAGGAATTTACCGGGAATTTGGGGGATTTCGGGGATAGGAATTACACGGGAATTTGGGGGATTACGGGGATAGGAATTACACGGGAATTTGGGGGATTTCGGGGATGGGAATTTAAGGGGAATTTGGGGGATTTCGGGGATAGGAATTTAACGGGAATTTGGGGGATTTCGGGAATAGGAATTTAAGGGGAATTTGGGGGATTTCGGGGATAGGAATTTAAGGGGAATTTGGGGGATTTGGGGGATAGGAATTACACGGGAATTTGGGGGATTTCGGGGATAGGAATTTAAGGGGAATTTGGGGGATTTCGGGGATAGGAATTACACGGGAATTTGGGGGATTTCGGGGATAGGAATTTAAGGGGAATTTGGGGGATTTCGGGGATAGGAATTTAAGGGGAATTTGGGGGAAATCGGGGATTTTGCACCGACACCGCGGTCCTACAGCGCCCCCTGGCGGCCGCTCCGCAGAACGGCCGCGACCCCCGGGACCCCAGAGACCCAAACACATCAGTGTCACACACACACATCAGTGTCACACACACACACATCAGTGTCACACACACATCAGTGTCACACACACACATCAGTGTCACACACACACATCAGTGTCACACACACACATCAGTGTCACACACACACATCAGTGTCACACACACATCAGTGTCACACACACACACTGTCACACACACACACATCAGTGTCACACACACATCAGTGACACACACACATCAGTGTCACACACACACACATCAGTGTCACACACACACATCAGTGTCACACACACACATCAGTGTCACACACACATCAGTGTCACACACACACATCAGTGTCACACACACACATCAGTGTCACACACATCAGTGTCACACACACACATCAGTGTCACACACACATCAGTGTCACACACATCAGTGTCACACACACACATCAGTGTCACACACACACTCAGTGACACACACACATCAGTGTCACACACACACATCAGTGTCACACACACACATCAGTGTCACACACACATCAGTGTCACACACACATCAGTGTCACACACATCAGTGTCACACACACACATCAGTGTCACACACACTCAGTGTCACACACACACATCAGTGTCACACACACACCGGTGACACACACACATCAGTGTCACTCACACACTGTTGTCACACACACATCAGTGTCACACACACACATCAGTGTCACACACACACTGGTGACACACACACCTGCACAAGCTCATCTGTGTCACACACACCTGTATCAGTGCACACACACACCTCCACACACGTACACACCTGCACACCCTCTGGGGCTCGTGCTGCGCACACACACACACACACACACACACACACACACAGCCCCGTGAGCACACATATGCACACACTCATGCTGGAACACACATGCACACAGGGACACGCACACTCAGGTGTCCATAAACACACCTGTCCATGCACACACGTGGATTTGCACACGCACACTCACGTGTCCGTGCAGACACGTGGATTTGCACACGCACACTCAGGTGTCCGTGCACACACGTGGATTTGCACACGCACACTCAGGTGTCCATGCACACACGTGGATTTGCACACGCACACTCGGGTGCACAGCACGGACAACCGCACCCCCGCACGGATATCACACACTTGATTGACACGCTTACGTCACACG